TGCAAATTTGTCTAACATTCTCCCCACATTGTCATCAATATCACTTATGCATATAACAAACAATAAGAGACCCAGCACTGATCGTAATGGTACACAGATGGACACTGGCCTCCAGTCACTCAAGCAGCCTTCTATCACTACCCTTTGAAACCTTTTACTAAGCTAGTTTCTGATCCATCTCGCCAAGTTTCCCTCAATTCCATGTTCTTTAACCTTATCAATCCGTCTCCGATGTGGCACCTTGTCAAAACTTTGCTAAAATCCATATAAACTACATCAACTGAACTTCCCTCATCTATACACTTGATCACATTTTCAAAAAATTCTAACAAATTTGTTAGGCATGACCCCACTCTGACAAAGCCATGTTGACTATCCCTAATTAATCCATGTCTTTTCAAGTAGGTATTAATTTGCTCCTCCAGAATTTTCTCCAATTTTTTCCCTACCACTCATGTGAGACTCACCAGTCTATAATTTCCTGGTTTCATCTCTACCAGCCCTCTTAAAAAGTGGAACAGCATTTGCCGTCCTCCAGTCTTCTGGCACTTTCCCCAGGGCCAGAGAGGAATAAAAATTTGTGACAGAGCCCCTGCAATTTCCTACCTTGCCTCCCACAGCAGCCTGGGGTGCAATTCATCTGGGCCAGGGGATTTGGCTGATTTTAAGCCCAACAAAACCTCCGATACCTCCCTATTTCCTATGCCAAACCATGCAAGTTCCTCACAGTCCCTTTTCCTGAATTCCAAACCTACGTTCTCCTTTTCCAGAGTGAAGGCCAAAGAGAAGTATTCATTCAACTCCCTTCCAATATCCTGCAGCTTCACACACAAGTTACCCGCTTGGTCTCTACTCTTTCCCTGGTTAACCCCTTCCCTTTAATGCATTTATAAAATATTTTAGGATTCTCCTTAATTCTGTTTACAAGTCCTTTATCATCCTCCCTTTCTGGTCTTTAATTGCTTAAGTTCTCTCCTGCACTTCCTGTATAATTTGTCAATTATAAATTTTTTTCTTCCTCTTTTCTTTTTTTGGATGCTTTTGTATATGAATGTGAGTTAGAAAAAATTCCCCTGGGATTTGATTGCTGTAATAAACCTTACTTTGCTGTAACCTTGATTCCCTGACTAGTCAAAAATCTTATCTGTCTCAGCCTTAAATATGCACAAGGACTCTGCCCCCCACGGCTCTCAACTCTCTGAGAGAAGAAATTCCTTGTCATCTCAGTCTTAAACTGGTGTCCTTTTATTCTGAGACTATGCCCTCTGGTCCTAGACTCTCCCACGAGGGGATACATCATCTCAGTATCTACTCTGTCAAGGCCCCTACGAAACCTATATGTTTCAATGAGATCACCTCTTCTAAATTCACTTCTTCTAAATTCCCCATTCTTCTAAATTCCAGTCAGAGTCCCAATCTGTTTAAACTTTGCTCATTAGACAATCCCTCCATACCAGGGATCGTCCTAATGAACCTTCTCTGAACTGTCCCCAGTGAAATTATATACTTCCTTAACAAAGGGGACCCAAAGTGATCACAGTACTCCAGATGAGGTCTCACCAGCACCTTGTACAGTTACAGTAGGACTTCCCAAGTCCTACACTCCAAATCCCTTGAAATAAAGGCCAACATTCCATTAACAAAGAACAGTACAGCAAGGAACAGGTCCTTCAGCCCACCAAGACTGCGCCGACAGGTGATGCCTTTCTAACTAAAAACCCTTTGCCTCTTAAACGTTGCTATTGTATCCGCATCCACTACCTCTTCTGGCAGGCACTTCTGTGTATATCACCCTCTGTGTAAAAAACCTGCTTCTCACATCTCCTGTAAATTTACCCTCATTACCTTAAACCTATGTTCACCAGTAACAGACATTGCGAAAGAATGTATTAAAAAGAAGCTGTCAAATCCCTACTAGATCACCCTTGAGCCTTCTAAATTTGAAGGAATATAGTGCTAGTAGAGTAACCTGGATAAAATACTCCAATTATCCATTGTATCCATGTCTCATAATTTTGTAAACTTCCATCAGGTCACCCTCATTCTTCAACATTCAAGTGAAAACAAACTAAGTTTGTCTAAACTCTCCTCTTGGTTAATACCCTCCAAACCAGGCAACATTCTGGTAAACTGTTTCTGTACCCTCTCCAAAGCCTCCACATCCTTTTGGCAGTGTGAGGACCGGAACTGTATACAATATTCCAAACGTTGCCTAACTAAAGTTCTATTCAGCTGCAACATGACTTGTTAACTTTTATAATTTATGCCACAACCGATGTAGTCAAGCATGCCATATGCCTCCTGACCACATTATCCACTTGTGATGCCACTTTCAGGAAACTGTGGACCTGTATATCTAGATCTCGCTGTATGTTCATGTTACTAAGGGTTCTGTTATTGACAGTATACTTCCCTCCTGCATTAACATCTCCCAAAATGCATCACCTTACAGTTGTCCAGATTACACTCCTTCTGCCATTTCTCCGCCCAAGTCCCAAGACTTTCTACATTGTGCTGTATCCTCTGGCAATCCTTCTCACTATCTGCAGCTCCTCAATCCTGTGTCATCCACAAACTTACTAATCAGGCCAATTATAATCTTCTCCAGATCGTTTACTTATCTATTGCAAACAACAGAGGTCCCAGCACTGATCCCTGCAGAACACCACTGGTCCCAGATCTTCAATCCGAAAAACACCCTTCCAACACTACTCTGTCTTCCATGACTAAGACAGTTTTGTATCCATCTTACCAGCTCACTGCAGATCCCATATGACTTCAGCTTTGTATCAGCCTTGTCAAAGGCCTTGCCAAAGTCAATGCAAACAACATCTACCACCGTGCACTCATCAATCATCTTTGTCATTCCTCAAAAAATTCAACTAAGTTTGTGAGTCAGGACCTTCTCCACTCAAAGCCACACTGCCTACCGCTGATAAGTCCGGATTTTTGCAAATGTGAACAAATCCTATCCCTAAGAATTTTCCCTACCACTGACATAAGGCTCATCAGCCTGTAACTTCCCAGATTATCCCTGTTGATCTTCTTAAACAACGGGACAATATTAGCTAATTTCCTGTCCTGTGGGACATCACCTGTGACTAAAGAGAATACAAAAAATTCATACAATTTCCTCCCTTGCCTCCCTCAGTATTATGGGATAGATCCCATCAAATCCATGGGACTTGTCTACCTTAATGTCTTACAAAACACCCAACACCACCTTTTTCATACTGACATGCCCTAGAAGATCAACATACCCCTCTGAGACGCACCATCCACCATTCCTTCTCCTTTCTGAACACCGAAGCAAAGTATTTCTTAAGGGCCTCACCCACTTCCTTCAGCTCCATGCACAAATTCCCTCCTGTGTCCTTGAGTGGTCCTATCCTTTCTCCAGCTACCAACTTGCTCCATAGATATGTATAAAACACGTTGGGATTTTCCTTAATCCTGTTTGCCAAAGACACTTCACGGCCCATTTTAGCCTTCCTAATTCTTTTTTTCAGTTCTTTCCAACTATCTTTGTATTCTTCAAAGGCTCTGTCTGCCTTCAGTATCGTAAACCTCATGTATGCTTCCTTTTTCTTTCTAAGCTCTCAATTTCTCATCATCCAAGGTTCCTAAATCTTGCTATCCTTATCCTTCACTTTCAAAGGAACGTGTTCGCCCTGAACTCTAATCAACCAGCCTTTAAAAGATTCCCACATGCCAGATGCAGATTTACCCTCAAACAGCCACCCCCAATCTATATTTTCCACTTTTTGCCTAATATTGTGGTAGCTAGCCTTCGCCCAGTTTAATACTTTCACCCAAGGACTATTCTTGTCCTTATCCCTAAGTAACTCAAAACTTACAGAATTATGCTCACTGTTCCCGAAATGCACCCCCACTGACACTTTGATCACATGGCCAGGCTCGTTCTCCAGTACTAATTCTAGTGTGGCCCTAAACCCTCATTAGACTATTTAGAGATTATTTAAAAAATATATATCTTAGACACACCTAACAATCTACACCCCCATGCTCCCATCTCCCTCTAGCACTAAGCAAGCCCCATTCAAGAATCAGGCAAGTGAAAATCACCCACCACAACAAGCCTGTTGTTTTCACATTTTTCCATAATCTTTTCACATATCTGTTCCTCTACCACCCACTGGCTTAGGAGGCCTGTCGAGGGGTTTGTAGCATAGTCCCATTAAAGTGATGGCACCCTTCCTATTCCCGAGTTCTGCCTGTATGGCCTCGCTGGATTAGCCCTCTAACGTATCATCCCTCACTACAGCTGTGAAATTCTCCCTTACCAGTGACATATTCCCCTACCTTTTTTACTTCCCTCTCCATCTCACCTGAAACATCTAAATCCTGGTATATTAAGCTGCAGGTTTTGTCCCTCTGTCAAACCAAGTCTCTGTAATAGCTATAAGTATTCATCTAAGGTCTAAGTTTATCTGCTTTACCTGTCATACTCCTTGCACTAAAGCAAATACACCTCAGACCACCAGTCCTGCCATGTTTAGTAACCTCCCCTATTTGTTCTTTCTCTTAACCTTACTGGCCGCTGTCTCTAATCAGGAAGCAGGCCTTCCTGAATACCTGCTGCCTCTTTGTGCTTGCTTCATGTGTTTCGTGCTCAAGTAACGCCAAGTCCCTTTGTATTTTAGCTTTCTGCAGTTTTTCTCTGCTTAAATAATATTTTGTTCTTTTGTTCTCTAGTCCAAAATGAATAACTTCACATTTCCCCACATTATACGCCATTTATTAACTTTTAACCCCACATACTTAACCTATCATTACATATCTGTAAACTGTTTGAATTCCTCTCACAACCTGCCTTTCCACCTATTTTTGTGTCATCTGCCAATTAGGCTACAGCACATTTACTTCCTCCAAGTCATTAATATAAATTGTAACATCTGTAGTGTATAATGTATGTTGCTCTTACTTGACACAGCATTAAAAAGTTCCTAAAGGTTTCACATCTATGACTGCAAGGTCACCTTATTTTCAGAGCAATCACATGCGATGTCAGTGATGGGGTCCCTGTGCTGTTCAAGTACTTCAGACACAGTGATGTTCGTTCCTTTTGGGGGAACATTGAAGACTAGGATTGATCCCATTGAGATGCCTGTAATGAGAGGAACACACACTCAGGATGTCTCAGGAACGCAGAAGTTAGAGAATAAAGTATGAAATGCTGCAGGTTGCAAACTGAGTCAATATTGAAGAATATGGGGAATGCCAGCAGGTAACACAATGTCTGAAGAGACATTACCTGCAGAATTTGTATATTCAAAGCATTAACTTCTTTGTTCTTGACAGATGCTGTCTGATCCCAACATTATCTCTTCATCATGTTATACAGCACCAGTATAGTGGAACGACTTAGAAATACTGAGGGTGGCATGGGCACACAATGCAGTCTGGGTGAGGAACTTGAAAGTCCATCGTCAACAGCAGTTTGAGAACGAAAAAGAGAAAGTCAACTTGACCTTGCCTTTACCAGTCTACCTTGTTGCATTTGCATCTTTTGACATCAGGTCTTCTGCAATCTCCTCCTCAGTTGCGATGAACAAGCTGACTTCTCCCAGAATCCTCCTCAGTCACTTCTCACTACTGCCCTCAGTCATGATCTCATTGAATGGCAGACCAGACTCGATGGGCTGTATAGCCTGCTTCTGCTCCTTTGTCTTATGGTCTTATACTAGTCCAGTAACACTTGGCCACTGTTTTTCCATGCATTATATTTGTAACTTGTTTACCATAGTGGTTATTCACTGATCATGCTCACAAGAGGCTGCCAATGTTCTTTTATAACAAAAGAAAATTAAAGTTTATTAAACACAAAAAGAAAAAAAAACTCTACTTTGTAGTGCACATGAAGGATCTGAAATGGTTTTATTACAAATATTGGAAATAAAATTTCACCCTATTACCCTCAACAACAACCTTATTGGCAAACAAACCTCAGTGAAGAGTCACCTGTCTTCACAACAAAATTGCTTGCTCGGTTAGAATGGTTGTAATTAGTTTCTGGAGTATTTTTCATTCTGACCTCTGAACACTTTCAGGGATTTCCATACCCTCAGTTTCTAGCACTTCTTGGTTTCTGAGGTTTCTTCCTAAACCTAGTAATATTTTCCTCCATCTTGATTGTTTTGGAGACTGCTATACCGCCATTTCCATTCTCATTGAAACTGCACAGCTTCTGGATAGTTTTGCCTTTCTATCTCCTTGAGTCACAGGACAATTATTAGATAACAACATACAGAAGCAGAATTAGACCATTCAGCCTATTGAGTCTGCTCCTTCACTCGAACATGGCTGACACATTTCTCAACCCCATTCTCCCTGTAACCCTTGATGCCCTTACTAATTAAGAAGCTACCTATCTCTGTCTTAAATACACTAAATGACTTGGCCCCCACAGCTTTCTGTGTCAATGAGTTCCACAGATTCACCACTACCTGGCTGAAAGAAATTCCTCTTAATCTTAGTCCCTTTGTGTTTTAGATTTTCAAAGTCTTTTCCCATTTAGAAATAGTCTACTTCTCTATTCTCCCTACCAAAGTACAACCTACCCAAGGAGTCAGGAAGGAGCTGGGTTGAGACTGGGAATCACGTGGCAGGAGCTGAACGCGCAGGTTGTGACCTGCAGCGACGGTGGATCAAGCGTGGGCCGGAGCAATGGCAGCAGATCAAGAGTGGGCCAGCGAGAACAGGGCCAGTGAGGCAGCAATGGTGAGATTGAGTCAATGAGGCAGCGGCGGCGACAGCAAACTCGTGAAGCAGCCAAGATGGGCCGGTAAGGCAGCCCGGAGCAAGACGTTGGCAGTGGCATGGTGTGGGCTGGAAAGCCCGGAGCCAGGCTGTGGCGGAGGCATGGCGAGCGCTGGAAAGCCCAGAGCAGGGCTCTGGCGGAGGCATGGCATGAGCTGGAAAGCCCCGAGTGGAACTGCAGCAATGGACAGGAAAGTTGGACTCTCCTAAGTTCTCTTTCATCTTATTCTAAGTTAAAGTGAATGGCGCTGTATATGTATGGCAAAGATACAAACTTTTCACTATTTTTACATTGAATACACGTGATAATAAATGATTCAATTCAATAACATCAGTTTCCCACACTGTATTCCAGTTCCCATTTCTTTTTCCACTCTCCTAGCCTGCCCAAGTCCTTCTGCAGCCTCCCTGGTAGCAGAGTAAAATGCTCCTGCTAGAGCTCCTCTGCTCTGCCTGTTCTTTTTCTTTTTTATCTCTCTCCCCTTAGCCCCGGAGGCAAAGCCTGGAGCAGCAGCAAGCATGGGCAACGAGTGCCCAGAGCAGCATGATCAGAGGATTAGATAGGGTGGACAGTGGGAGCCTTTTTCCTCGGATGGTGATGGCTAGCACGAGGGGACATAGCTTTAAATTGAGGGGTGATAGATATAGGACAGATGTCAGAGGTAGGTTCTTTACTCAGAGAGTAGTAAGGGCGTGGAATGCCCTGCCTGCAAAAGTAGTAGACTCGCCAACTTTAAGGGCATTTAAATGGTCATTGGATAAACATATGGATGATAATGGAATAGTTTAGGTTAGATGGGCTTCAGATTGGTTTCACAGGTCGGCGCAACATCGAGGGCCGAAGGGCCTGTACTGCGCTGTAACGTTCTATGTTCTATGTTCTATGTGGGCAGCGGGAGTGGCGCGCAGGCAGCGAGTCCCAGGCAGAGACTAGCGCGGGGGAGGCAGTCCTGGAACGTACCTTGGAGTAACTGAGTGCTAGCACAGAGCGGACTGGAGGCTTGGAGTGGAGCGGGGGCAGCTGTTGGACTACAGTCTGGTGCAGGTTGTCAGACCATGTGCGGAAGACCTGCACTAAGCTGCTACAATGTAATTTTTCTTTGAAATTATTTGACTTGGTTGTAAAGTTAATCCTTTAATGATGTCTTATATCTAACTTACTTTTTAAACTCTGTAAAGTAATGTAACTACATTTTATTCCTCTTTTGTATCCAAGATTTCTTTCTTGGTACTTGTACCTAAGATGGCGCCATAAGAGGCAGACATTGTAAAAGCTTTTCACTGTACTTCTACAATGGAGTACACATGACATGAAGGATATCCTATTCTATTCAACAATCTCTGTCCCTCCACTCAGCTTTGTGTCATCTGCAAACTTAGCAATAACGCCCTCAGTTCCTTCGTTCAGATCATTAATGCATAACGTGAATAGCTGTGGTCCCAACATTGACCTTTGCAGAAATCCACTGGTCACTGGCTGCCATCCTGAAAAACATCCATTTATCCCCACTCTCTGCCTTCTGCCAGTCAGCCAATCTTCTATCCATACCAGTAACGCCAATGGCTCTTCTTATTCAGCAGCGTGTTGTACAGCACCTTGTCACAGGCCTTCCAGAAATCCAAATAAATCACGTCCACTGCTCTCCTTTGTCTAACTTCCTCATTATCTCCAAAAAAAAATTGTAAGATTTGTCAGGTATGACTTCTCCTTGATGAAACCATACTGACTAGGCCCCATTTTACCATGCAATTCCAAATACTCTGCAATCTCATCTTTAAAAATTGACTCTAAAATCTTACCAAAGATCGAGGTAAGGCTAACTGGACTTTAATTTCCTGTCTTCTGACACCCTCCCTTCTTAAACAGGGTGTTACATTAGCCATTTTCCAGTCCTCTGGGACTCTCACTGACTCCAGCAATTCATAACAGATCACCACCAATACCTCCACAATCTCCTCAGCTATCTCCTTCAGAACCCTGGGGAGTAGTCAGTCCATCTGGTGCGGTGATTTATCTACCTCAGACCTTTCAGCTTCTCCAATACCTTCTCCTTCATGATGGCCACTACACTCACTTCTGCCCCCAACTCTGTTGAAATTCTGGTATGTTATTTGTGCCTTCCACCATTAAATTTGATGCAAAGTATCTATTCAGTTCCTCTGCCACTTCCTAGCTCCATATTACTACTTCTCCAGTCTCATTTTCCAGTGTTCACGCTTGCACCTCTTAACTTTTAGATGTCTAAAAAAACTTTTGTAATCTTCCTTTATATTACAACCTAACTTACCCTCGTGTTTCATCTTCTCCCCACCTTATTGCTATTTTAGTTGTTCTCTGCTGGTTTTTAAAGGCTTCCCACCAATCTTCATGGCATTGTATGCTTTTACTTTTGGCTTTCCGCTGTCCCTGATTTCAGACATGATTGCCTTATCCTCCCCTCAGTACGCTTCTTCCTTGGGATGAATTTCTGCTGTGCCTCCCAAATTACCCCTAGAAACCCCTGCCATTACCGCTCCGTCATCTTCCTTGCGAGGTTCCCCTTCCAATCAACTTTGGCCAGCTCCTCCCTCATTTCTTTGCAGTTTCTTTTACTCTATTGTAATACATTACATCTGATTTCAGCTTCTTCCTCTCAAATTGCAGGGCGGTTTCGATTTTATTATAGTCACTGCTCCCTAGGGGTTCCTTCACTTTCAGTTCCCCTGGTATCTGCCTCATTATACATCACTAAATCCACAACTGCTTGTTCCCTGGCGGGTTTGACCACAAACTGCTCCACAAATATCATCTCATAAACATTTCCACAAATTCCTTTTCTCAGGATCTGCTACCAACCTGATTTTCCCAGTCAATCTGCACACTGAGTCTTCCATGCCTATTGCAGTAGTGCCTTTCTTACATATCTTTTCTATCACCTGATTTATTTTCTGGCGCACATCCTGACTATTGCTAGGAGGCATGTACATAACTTCTATTAGGGATTTTTTTTCCTTGCAGTTCCTCAACTCTGCCGAAACAGATTTTACATCTTCTGACCCTATATTCCTTCTTGCTATTGATTTCATTTGACAAGGCAACTCTGTCCCCTCTGTATCCTTGGATATTTAGTTTTCAGCTCTGGTTCCCTTGTAGCCATGACTCTGTGATTTCAGCGTCTTCCTCTCAAACTGCAGGGTAGTTTTGATCATATTATAGTCACTGCTCTCTAGGGGTTCCTTCACTTCCAACACCGTACCTACTAATTTCAATGTGTACTACAAGGTCAAGTACCTTGTTCCATACACTGCGCACATTTTAGTACAACACACTCAGTCCTATGTTGAACACCCACCACACCCATCCCCTTCTCATAGCTGCCCCTGAAATTAAATTCCTGACCCTTTCCATATGCTCTGTATTATTATTTAAGCTGGAAACTTTAATAGGACTCCAAAGATGCTGATTGGCAGTTGGGGTGAAGATTTGCATCGGCGCAGTTATCATTGCCAAAAGGAGGACCTCAGCGAAACACCCTCCAAGTTGGAGAGTAGACAAGCATCCAGTGGAGGGCTGCAAAGATATTGATTGGCGGTTGGGTTGAAGTAGTGGGTAAGGCACGTATCGTTTATAGTACTTTATTTTGGCTTCTAATCTGTAAGGGTAGTACAGGAAAGAAGGGCCATGGGTGGCTGGATTTGATTTTATCGAACATAAAGTACTCTCCAAGGTTTAATTTTAGGAGGTAAACCATGGCAGGAGAGTTCAAGGTCTTGGTTCGCTCCTCTTGCTCCATGTGGCAGGCTGGGGACAGTTCCAGTCCCCCAGTCAGCATGTGTGCAGGAAGTGTCTCCAGCTACAGCTTCTGGAAGCTCAACTTTCAGAGCAGGAGCGGGGGGCTGGGGACACTGTGGAGCATCCACAAGGCGGAGAATATTGTGGACAGCACATACAGAAAGGTGGTCACACTGCAGGCAGGAAGGGAATGGGTGACCATCAGGCAGAGTAAGAGAGATAGGCAGGTAGTGCAGGAATCTCCAGTGGCCATTCCCCTGTAAAACAGATATATTGTTTTGGATAGTGTTGAGGGGAATGACCTCTCAGGGGAAAGCAGCAGCAGCCAAACATGTTGTACCATGGTTGGTTCTGCTGCAGAGGGAAGGGGTAAAAAGTGTGCCAGGGCAATAGTTATAGGGGACTGAATTGCAAGGGGAATAGACAGGTGTTTCTTTGGCCACAAGCTCCAGGATGGTATGTTGCCTCCCTAGTGCTAGGGTCAAGGATGTCTTGGAGTGGTACTATGATAGTAAAATGTACGGTATGCAGGGTAGTTTGATCTTAGAGTAGGATAATAGGTCGGCACAACATCGTGGGCCAAAGGGCCTGTACTGTGCTGGACTGTTTGATGTTCTATGTTTGGGTACAGGGCATTCTGGAGGGGGAGGGTGAACAGCCAGTGGCCATGGTACACATCGGTACAAACAACACTAGCTAAAAAAGGGATGAGGTCCTAAAAGCAGAACACAGGGAGCTAGGAAGAAAGTTAAGAAACTGGATCTCAAAGGTAGTGATCTCAGATTACTACAGGTTCCACGTACCAGTCAGAGGAGAACTGACAGGATATATCAGATGACTATATGACTGTAAAGATAGTGTCAGGGGGAAGGTTTCAGATTCCTGGGGCATTGGGACCGGTTTTGGGAGAGGTGAGACCTGTAAAAATTGGATAGGTTACATCTAGGCAGGACTGGGACTGATGTCCTAGGGAGAATGTTTGCTAGAGCTATTGAGGAGGATTTAAACTAATATGCCAGGGGAATGGGAATCTATGTAAGGAGTCAGAGAAGGGAGCAAGGACAAAAACGAAAGGTAAAAAAGGCAATAAGAAAAGTGTTATGCAGAGAAACCAAAGACAAAATTCAAACAGGGCTATTGAGAAAAATAAGAGCGAGACAAACAATGTTAAAAAGACACACTTAAAGGCTTTGTGCCTTAATGCGAGGTGCAATGAAAGATAGTTAATCATGCAGATAGATGTAAACGGGTACGATATAATTGGGATTACGGAGACATGGCTGCAGGGTGACCAGGGATAGGAACTGGATGTCCCAGGGTATTCAGTGTTTAGGAAGGACAGACAACAAGGAATAGGTGGTGGAGTTGCATTGCTGGTTAAAGAGGAAATTATCATAATAGTGAGAAAGGATATTAGCTCCGACAATGTGGAGTCTGTACGGGTAGAGTTGAGAAATGCCAAGGGGCAAAAAAACATTAGTGGGTGTCATATATAGACCCCCAAACTGCATTGGTGATGTTGGGAATGGCATTAAACAGGAAATTAGAGATGCATGTGATAAGGGAATATTGGTGAATATGGGTGATTTTAACCTGCATATAGACTGGGCAAATCAAATTAGCCACAGTGCCGTGGAGGAGGAATTTCTGGAGTGTATACAGGATGGTCTTCCTGACCAATATGTGGAGGAACCAACTAGAGCAGGCCATCTTCGACTGGGTACTGTGTAATGAGAAGGGAATCATTGCCAGTCAAGCTGTGCAAGACCCCACGGAGATGAGTGACCATAACATGATGGAATTTTTTTTTATAAAGTTGGAGAGTGAGGTAATTGATTCAGAGACTAAGGTGCTGAATCTTAATAAAGGAAACTATGAAGATATGAGGCGTGAGTTGGCTTGATAGATTGGGGAGATTTTCTTAAAGGGATGACAGTGGATAGGCAATGGGAAACACTCAAGAAACACATGCAGAAACTGCAACAACTGTTTATTACTGTTTGGCACAAAAGCAAAATGGGTAAGAGGGCCAATCCATGGCTTACAAAGGAAATTGGAGATAATATCAGATCCAAGGAAGAAGCATGAAGATTGGCCAAGAAAAATAATATACCTGAGAATTGGGAGCACATTCGAATTCAGCAAAGAAGGACCAAGGGATTGATTAACAAGTGGAAAATACAGTACAAACTTAAGCTTGCAGGGAATGTAAAGATTGACACTAAGAGTTTCTATAAGTACGTGAACAGAAAGAGATTGGTGAAGACAAATGTGGGTCCCCTACAGACAAAAATGGGTAACGCATAATAGGGGACAAAGAAATGGCTGAGCAACTGAATACATACTTTGGTTCTGTCTTCATAAAAGAGGACACAAATCAGATACCAAAAATGTTGGAGAATGCAATGTCACTCCAATAGGCAAAAAGGGAGGCAGAGAGAAAACAGGAAATTACAGGCCAGTAAGCCTAACATCGGTAGTGGGGAAAATTCTCGAATCCATTATCAAAGTCTTTATAGCTGAGCATTTAGAAAGCAGTGGCACGATCAGATACAGTCAGTATGGATTTATGAATGGGAAATCATGCTTGACAAATCTGTTGCAATTTTATGAAGAGGTAACTAGTAGCCGTGACAAGGGAGAGCCAGTCGATGTGGTATATTTGGACTTTCAGAAAGCGTTGACAAAGTCCCCCAAAAAGATTATAGCGCAAGAATAAAATGCATGTGATTGGGGAAAGTGTACTAAGATGGATAGAAAACTGGTTGCCAGAGAGGAAACAAAGAGTAGGAATTAATGGGTCCTTTTCAAATTGGCAGGCAGTAACTAGAGGGGTACCACAGGGATCAGTGCTGGGACTCCAGCTATTTACAATATATATTAATGATTTGGGTGAGGGAACAAAATGTAACATCTCAAAGTTTGCAGATGATACCAAGTTGGCTAGGAGGGTGAACTGTCATGAGGATGCAGAGATCCAGAGGGAGTCCAGTCGAGTGTTATCACATAGCTTCCTAGCTCACCAGACTCAATATCGAGTTCAACAATTTCAGGGCCTAAACTCTCCCATGTCCTAGCCCGCTACCCCACACACCAGGCCTTGTTATCACACTTGGAATATTGTGTTCAGTTCTGGCCACCTCATTACAGGAAAGATGTGGAAGCTTTAGAGAGGGTGCAGAGAAGATTTACCAGGATGCTGCCTGGACTGGAGGGTAGGTCTTATGAGGAAAAGTTGAGGTAGCTAGGGCTTTTTTCATTGCAGCGAAGAAGGATGAGAGGTGACTTGATAGAGGTTTACAAGATGATGAAGGACATAGATAGAGTGGATAGTCAGAGACTTTTTCCCAGGGCGGAAATGACTATTACGAGGGGGCATAATTTTAAGGTTAGAGAGATAGTAGGAACTGCAGATGCTGGAGAATCTGAGATAACAAGGTGTAGAGCTGGATGAACACAGCAGGCCAAGCAGCATCAGAGGAGCTAGAAAGCTGATGTTTCAGGTCTAGAGCCTTCTTCAGAAAACAAGGTATAGGGGAGATGTCAGAGGTTGGTTCTTCACACAGAGAGTGGTGGGTGTGTGGAATGTGCTGCCAGCAGTGGTAGTGGAGTCTGATACTTCAGAGACTTTTAAGCGACTCTTGGATGGGCACATGGATGATAGTAAAATATAGGGTATGCAGGGTAGATTGATCTTAGTGGGATAATAGGTTGGCACAACATCGTCGGCCGAAGGGCCTGTACTGTGCTGTACTGTTCCATGTTCTATGTTCATAATCTGCCATTACACACCACCTGTTGTTAGTCACTAAACTGCTAGACCCCATTAACAACTATTCACCCTCCCAGCCAAATTGTTATCAACTCCTTTGTCCAACTGTTCTTCTCTCATTTTGGGCTCTATCCCATCGTTTACACCCTAACCATCCCCCTCCCTATTTTCTGCATATAAACTGACGTTTTCCCAGCTACCGTCAGTTCTGGGGAAGGGTCACCGAACCCTAAACGTTAACTCTGATTTTTTCTTCACAGACGCTGCCAGACCTGCTGAGCTTTTCCATAAACCTCTGTTTTTGTTACTGATTTACAGCATCTGCAGTTCTTTCGGTTTTTAACGAGGTAACAGACCAGTTGAACAAATAATACGGATCTGTCTTTACTAAGGAGGACACGAATAACCTTCTGAAATGTGAAGCGACAGAGGGTCAAGCATGGTGGAGAATGTAATGGTGGTGCAGGCTTGAAGGGCCAAATTGCCTACTCCTGCACCTATTTTCTACGTTTCTATGTAAGCCTGTACCCTCACAAAATTCAAACATTACACTAAAATTATGGTCTTCCTTTCATAACAAAATAAAAATACAAATCAAAGTTGAAGCCTCAGATCACTTCACTAAGAAACCCAAGTTACCAAACATTAATAATAACATAGTATGAATATTCATCACAAACAACACTAACTAACTGAACCAGATGGACTGATTCCACTATTATAATTCACGTACAATTCCAAGTTCAGTACTCACCCACACAGATATAGTTGCTCTTTGTAGCTGCGATTCCTCGTGCAAACACAGCCTCTGCTGGGAAATGGAAAAAGGCAAAGAATGGAATTCTCCTCCATCATAGTGTCTTGGTCCAGGAATGAGCCATTGCACATAACCTGCTCTGTATGGTACGTACATCTCCAGTCCACTCAGTGAATGTCAATCTTTCCACTAGTTCAGATCCTTTTCATATCCAAATTTCAAAAACATCATCACTCACTGAGTGAGGAGACTAGGGAGCTAGAATTTAAACCAGTATAAGGAAAATTCAATTGTATTGCTGTAATACTGTACTTTACTTCAAAACATCCCATGTTGTATGAACTGGCCGTTTGGAGGGTAGTACTGAGGAATCACTGCCCTGGCTGAGAGACAGTTCTTTTTAAAAATAAAATGTCATTCAGGGGATGTGGGCTAGACTGGCAGAGCAAGCATTGTTTGTGTTATTCAAAAATCTAAGATGGCAGTAGAGTAGGACTCCTGAGCTGGAGCTCTTCCATGAGCTTGTCCGCTCTGACCCATTTTCTTTCTTTCTTTTCCCGCTTTTTCTCTGCCGTTTTTTTAAAGTTCTTTTTAGCTTTTTCTAGAGGGAGCCAGTTCGTGGAGGCAACGGCAGCGACAGCAGCGGTTGGGGGCCGAGAGCGAGGGCTTCGCTGGTTGGCCACAAGGAGGTTAGTGTGCCCGGGCAGAACTCTGGCAGTTGGTGAAATCGTGGAAGAGCCTAGGGGCCCAGAGTGATGCCACAGCAGGATTCTAGTGGCCTGGTGAGTCAGCAGTGCAGAGGCCAAAAGATCAAGAGATCAACCCAGCATGGGACAGAGATTTAGATCGCATGGTGAAAGTCCAGAATGGAGCAACCACAGACCTATAGCTAAAGAATATTCCATTATTTGGAACTTTTAACTTTATTTCTTATTTACTACTTTATACTAACAAGAATTATTGATATAGAAAACAAATAGCAATAGGCCCAGCACCGAACCCTGAGGCACACCACTAGTCACAGGCCTCCAGTCAGATAAACATCCTTCCACTATTACTCCCTTTTTCCTACCATCAAGCTAACTGTGTATTCAATTGCCAGCTGTCTCTGGATTTCATGCAATCTAACCTTCCAGAGCAGCCTTCCATGTAGAACCTTATCAAAGGCCTTACTGAAATCCATTTGCCGCCCTGCCCTCATCAACCATCTTGGTCACTTCATCAAAGAACTCTAACAAATTTATGAGGCATGAACTCTCATTCTGACTACTAATCAAACCCTGTTTTTCCAAATGCATGTACATCTTATCCCTCAAAATCTTCTCAAGTAACTTAACCACACAAGATGTTAAGCTTACTGGTCTGTAATTCCCAGGTTTTTCTTTGCAGACCTTGAACAAGGGCACAACACTCACTACCCTCCAGTCTTCCAGGACTTCATCCATGGCTAACAATGATGCAAATCTGTCAGCCAGAGCCCCTGCATTTCTTCTCTAGCCTCTTGCAGGATATCTTGGATATATCTGATTAGAACCAGGAGATTTATCCACCTTCATATGTTTAATACTTCCAACATGTCCTCTACTGTGATAAGGACTGTCTCCAAGATATTGCCACGAACTTCCTCAAGTTCTCATGTCGACTCCACATTAAACTCAGAGGAGAAATATTCATTGAGGACCTCGCCCATCTCCTGTGGTTACACACATACATGTCCACTTTGGCTCTTGAGGGGTCCTATTCTTTCTCTAGTTATTCTTTTTTCTTTAATATACTTAAAGAACCTCTTTGGATTCACCTTAATCTTCTCAGCCAAAGATATCTAGTGCCTCCTTTTTACCGTGTGGACTTCCTTCTTCTGTAAATTCCTGTATGCCCTGTTTATCTCCAGGGATTCCCTTGATCCCAGCTGCCTGCTCCTGAGCCATGCCTCCTTTTTTCTGGTCAAAGCCTCAATATCTCTTGCCATCCAGGATTCCCTACTCCTGACAACCTTGCCCTTCACCCTCTCAGGAACACACAGACCTTGAATTCTAGCTATCACACTTTTAAAGGCCTCCCACTTGCCAGAGGATCCTTTGCCTGCAAACAAACTACTCCAATCAACCCCTGCAAGATCCCAATTCCATCAAAATTCGCCTTGCCTCATTTAGAACTCGAACCAGTGGACCTGTTTTGTCCTTCTCCATAACTATTTTAAAATTAATGGAACTATGGTCACTGGTCCCAAGGTGCTCCCCCACTGTCACCTCAGTCACCTGTCCTGCCCTATTTCCCAAGAGTAGGTTGAGTTTTGCCTCGTCCCAAGTAGGACACTCTGCATACTGCTTAAGGAAAATTTCCTGAACACATTTAACAAATTCCACCCCATCTACATCCTTAACACCATGGCAGTCCCAGTCTATGTTAGGAAAATTTAAAAATTTAACAAATCTAACAAATTTGTGAGGCTATGACAACCTCATTGCTCCTTCCAGGCTCTCCAATTTCCATGCATTTTGTTCCTCTAATTCCTGTTGACTATTTGGGGGCTGATAGTACAACTCCAATAACATCACCACCCACTTCTTATTTCTTAGCTCCATGCAAGAAGCCTCACTGGATGGTCCCTCAGTTATTTCATCTCTGACTACTGCTGTGATACTCCCCTTAATCAAAAATGCAACTCCCACTCCCCTCTTTCCTCCACCTCTGTCCTGCCTAAAGCACCTGTACCTGAGCACATTAAACTGCCAGTCCTGTCCCTCCCTTAGCCATGTTTAAGTAATGGCTATAATAGCCCAGTCCCACATACCTATCAACACCATGAGTTCATCAGCCTTACCTGTCAGCCCTCTTGCATTGAAATAGATGCAACTTAATCCAACAGGTTTTCCTCGTTCCCTGTCCTGTTCCAGCTTGACCTGTCTCTTCAACTTGTTATTTCTGATTATTGTATTTCCTTCCAGCCTCGTACATGCCTCCCAGTTGTTGAGGAACCCCCGCCTCCCCCACTCCGCATCACTAGCAAGGGAGGATTTAAACTGGATTGGTAAGGGAGTGGGATCACGTAACAATAAATCTAATTCTAATTCTAATTTATAGCACATTCTCAGTTGCCCTTGAGAAGGTGGTATTGAGCTGCTTTCTTGAACCGCTGCATTCCATTTGCTTTCGGAATACACACAGCACTATTATGGAAAGGGATTCCAGGGAGGGGATTACAGCATTATCGGAGGCGCAGTAGTGAGGGACAGCTGTCCAAACAGAGGGTTAATATTGAGGAAACATAGAACATAGAACAGTACAGCACAGTACAGGCCCTTCGGCCCTCGATGTTGCGCCGACCTGTGAAACCAATCTGAAGCCCATCTAACCTAAACTATTCCATTATCATCCATATGTTTATCCAATGACCATTTAAATGCCCTAGAAGTTGGCAAGTCTACTACTTTTGCAGGCAGGGCATTCCACGCCCTTACTACTCTCTGAGTAAAGAACCTACCTCTGACATCTGTCCTAAAACTATCACCCCTCAATTTAAAGCTATGTCCCCTCGTGCTGGCCATCACTATCCGAGGAAAAAGGCTCCCACTGTCCACCGTATCTAATCCTCTGATCATCTTGTATGTCTCTATTAAGTCACCTCTTAACCTTCTTCTCTCTAACGAAAACAGCCTCAAGTCCTTCAGCCTTTCCTCATAAGATCTTCCCTCCATACCAGGCAACATCCTGGTAAATCTCCTCTGCACCCTTTCCAACGCTTCCACATCCTTCCTATAATGCGGTGACCAGAACTGTACGCAATATTCCAAGTGCGGCCGCACCAGAGTTTTGTACAGCTGCAACATGACCTCATGGCTCCGAAACTCAATCCCTCTACCAATAAAACCTAACATACCATACGCCTTCTTAACAACGCTATCAACCTGGGTGGCAACTTTCAGTGATCTATGCACATGGACACCGAGATCTCTCTGCTCATCCACACTACCAAGCATCTTACCATCAGCCCAGTACTCTGTATTCCTGTTACTCCTTCCAAAGTGAATCACCTCACACTTTTCCGCATTAAACTCCATTTGCCACCTCTCAGCCCAGCTCTGCAGCTTATCTATGTCCCTCTGTAACCTGCAACATCCTTCTGCACTATTCACAACTCCACCGACTTTAGTGTCATTCGCAAATTTACTAACCCATCCTTCTACGCCCTCATCCAGGTCATTTATAAAAATGACAAACAGCAGTGGCCCCAAAACAAATCCTTGAGGTACACCACTAGTAACTGAACTCCAGGATGAACATTTCCTATCAACCACCACCCTCTGTCTTCTTACAGCTAGCCAATTTCTGATCCAAACCGCTAAATCACCCTCAATCCCATGCCTCCGTATTTTCTGCAATAGCCTACTGTGGGGAACCTTATCAAACACTTTACTGAAATCCACATACACCACATCAACCGCTTTACCCTCATCCACCTGTTTGGTCACCTTCTCAAAGAACTCAATAAGGTTTGTGAGGCACGACCTACCCTTCACAAAACCGTGTTGACTATCCCTAATCAAATTATTCCTTTCTAGATGATTAGAAATCCTATCTCTTATAATCCTTTCCAACACTTTACCCACAACCGAAGTAAGGCTCACTGGTCTATAATTACCAGGGTTGTCTCTACTCCCCTTCTTGAACAAGGGGACAACATTTGCTAGTCTCCAGTCTTCTGGCACTATTCCTGAAGACAATGACGACATAAAGATCAAAGCCAAAGGCTCTGCAATCTCCTCTCTAGCTTCCCAGAGAATTCGAGGATAAATCCCATCCGGCCCAGGGGACTTATCTATTTTCACACCTTCCAGAATTGCTAACACCTCCTCCTTATGAACCTCAATCCCGTCTAGTCTAATAGACTGTATCTCAGTATTCTCCTCGACAACATTGTCTTTTTCCTGTGTGAATACTGACGAAAAATATTCATTTAGCGCCTCTCCTATCTTTTCGGACTCCACACACAACTTCCCACTACTGTCCTTGACTGGCCCTAATCTTACTCAAGTCATTCTTTTATTCCTGAC